TCGAAGAAATTAGCATAACTTTCGCATACGGTGTCCATTTTGGGCACATAATCCCCCTTATTTTGAAGAGCTCACAATGATTCTGAATGAACTCATAGCTTCACCACGACATATGATGGATTTTGGTAGTTTGAAATCGTGTAGAAGAATAGGAGCTTGTGTACATAAAACACTTAGATTGTTGATGTTCGAAGAAATTCACATAACTTTTGCATAAGGTGTCCGTTTTGGGCCCATAACCCCATTTTGAAAAGCTCACAATGATTCTAATGAATAAACGGCTTCACCATGATATATGGATTTTGGCAGTCTGAATTCGTGTGGAAGAACAGGCGCTTATGTACATGGAACGCTTGGATTGTCGATGTTCGAAGAAATTTGCATAACTTTCACATACGTTGTCCATTTTGGGCCCATAACACCATTTCGAAAAGGTCACAATGATTTTGTATGAAATCATAGCTTCGCTATGACATATGATGGATATTGGCAATTTGAATTAGTGTGGAAAAATAGGCGTTTGTGTATGTGGAATGCTTGGATTGTCGACATTCGAAGAAATTGGCATAACTTTTGCATCATATGGTGTCCATTTTGGGCCCATAACCCCTCACATTTCAAAAAATTCATGACGATTCTGAATGAACTCATAGCTTCACCGTGATGCATGATGGATTTTGGCAGTTGGAATTCGTGTAGAAGAACAGGTGCTTGCGTACATGGAACGCTTGGATTGTCGACGTTCGAAGAAATTGGCATAACTTTCACATACGGTGTCCATTTTGGGCCCGTAACACCATTTTTAAAAGCTTATGATGATTCTGAATGAAATCATAGATTCATCATGATGTATGATAGATATTAAGAGTTTGAATTCGTGTGGAAAAATAGGCTCTTGCATAAATGGAATGCTTGGATTGTTGACGTTCGAAGAAATTGGCATAACTTTCGCATACGATGTCCATTTTGGGTCCATAACCCCCCAAACTTTGAAAAGCTCACGAAGATTCTAAATGAACTCGTAGCTTCACTATGACGTTGATTAGTGTCTAAAAGTGCTTCAAAAATCTATCATTTACAAGGCATTTTACATTCACTTTGTTTAAAAATACTAATGTTACTCTCTAATTTCAATTCTCTTGCCGTAAATTCAATTTCTATAAATTCATGGTTAAAAATGCAATTAATTGAAATACGTATTTACATACATGTCGGCATGAGTATTATACATTTGTAAGAGTATCTATTTGATGTATTTCACATGTATTTCCAATTTAGAACAAGTGGAGCAAGTGGACGAAAATAATGTTGAAAAGTCAAGAATAGTGACTATCTCAAGCAAGAAGCAGCTGTTGGTAAAATGATCATAACATGAGCTTCAGCTATTGAACCGAGGTGATTCCAGTTGGGTTGGAAAGATAAGGCATGTTTCTACAACTTTCATATTTTGGAAGAAGTCAAATTCGTATTACAAGGCATCCAAAATTATCGTGTAAAGTCCAGCTTGTTACCTGCCGGATACAGCTTGTCTACCTGTGAAGCAATACTCATTATTTTTGTCTTATCTGGAGTTATATAGATCCAATGAACCTGATATTTGGACCAATGGAAAGATAACTCGAGTAGAAATAATTTATCTGTTGATCATAAGTCCAAATTTGTAACACCCCGACCCCTAGTAGACTTGAATTCTACTTACTTTACTTAGCTTAACCGGTGAATTAGTAACAAGTGTATACATTTTAGTGGAAGCTTACATCTTCGGATAATAATTTAAATAACAATACTTCAAATACTTTAAACAAAAACACTGAATTATTTTTCAAAACAAACAAATATAATTTATTTCAAGAAAACATAACTTGTTCTCGCATTCTGCGTTATTCAAAACTTTAAAGAAATAACATTGGAAAACATTTCATAAAAATAAATCCAAATCACTTATTCACCGGATTTCCATGGGCTCGTTGCATCACTCTCCATCTTCTCCTCCATCCATGCCCGAGGTAGAATTCATTCAATTTGTAGAGATGAGATTAAACCCGTGAGTTGAAAAACTCAATAGGTGTCATAGGTGCATTCGTGATCAAGCTATACATTTCAAAACATTAACTTTATAACTTTTATTACATGCCGTACCCGGAGGCACCATTTGACATGAAGGGGTATGCCGTACTTGAGGGCACCATTTGACTTACGAACATTTCTTCAACATAGAGGGGTATGCCGTACCGGAGTACCATTTGACATACAACCATTAACATAGAGGGATATGACGTACCGGAGTACCATTTGACATACAAACATTAACATGAATCGAAACTTATAACTTAACACAATTAAACACATTGCACCTCTACCTACCTTGATTGATGCTTTTGAAACTTTGAAAACTTGGATTGAAAACTTCGATGAAACTTGGACGTTGAAAGAAATGTACTCCTTGGATGTTTGAAAACCGTTGAGAATTGATGCTTGAAAACACTTCTTAAACTTCTAGGAAAAATAGTTTTCCTCCCTCTCTTTTTCTCTCTTGGAAACTCTTTCTTTAGTATGCAAAAGCTCTTGCTTTTGGTTTGAGAAAAAATGAGTGAAATGAGGTCTCTATTTATAGGTAAATATCCCATAACTTAAAGCAAATGAAGGGTCAAATTTCATTTAAGAGAGAAAACATGGGTGCCATTTAAGTTTGAGGTTAAATGCTTCAATTTAGTGGGGTTTTTATTGCCAAAAATGTGGGTGGCCTTTTGAGAAAATAATTGATGAAAATAAATATTTAAATTCTAGAGAAAAATGAGAATTTTTCATTTTAGGCAGTTTCGGTCGACCGGTTGTAGTTCGGTTGACACTGCATAGCTTTCAGTGTTTCTATCATAATGTCTTCTCCTGATATCTGATTGAGGTAATTCAAAGTGAGTTGGAAAACTAACTCAAAGAGCTACAACTTTTATTTAGATATGATTTACCAAATCGAATGTTTCCTATGTCGAAAATGGGTCTCAAATGAGACTAAAAATCTGAAGTATACTTTAGTCATCCAATATTCATGTCTTAGTACCACTAAGGTGTCTAGAATTATTTGGGGTTTTACAAAATTCGCTGCAAAATGTATCTGAAAATTGGCATCAAGTTGCATGTTCCAGCTGTCTTGAAGCTGGACAGAAACAAGTTGCATTGTCTACTTGCATTTTGGATGTTCCTTTGCCTATAAAAGGGGACATTGTCCACGATTTTGAGAGAATCAATCCTCTCCATCATATTCTAGTTTCCTTCATTTTCTTTGTAACATTTCATTATGTATTTCTAAACCATTAGTTAGAGCTAGGGGTGAAACTTTGGTGAATGCATAGTATTGTCTTTGATATTTCATTTTGTTCTTCAATGTTCATCTTCTTACTTGGTTGAAGTATATGTTCTACAAATAGTTTTGGTTTGTTAAAAACTTTGATTTATTGTTGATAATTTTGGTACAATAAATGCTTAGATAATCTCTACATTCCAACAACTTATTTTGACATATTCTCTCAAACAATTATCAAGATCTATCTTTTAATATATTTGTGATTAATGTTTTATCTTCCATATGAGATGATTCCTTAGTTGATTTTCATATGAGTTAAATTAAAGATCAAGGGCAATTTCTACTCATTTATCCGAAGTGAATCCTCGATGCTCTAGTGTTCATCTTCATCGTATTTCCACCAACCATTCACTACTCATAGACTAGTTTATTTCCTTCCAATTCCCTATGGTTCGACCTCGGACTTTCGAGATTTACTACTTGGGTTTGCAACCTTAAAGTTGTAGCAAGTTTTTGGCGCCATTGGCAGGGATTTACATCAAGAATTATTTTCTGCTACTTTCTATTAGGTTTTCTTCTCTGTCATAATCTTCATAAATTAGGTACACTCGTTCCTTTTTCAATCTTATTACTTTAGTTATTTTACTTTAAAGGAAGGCCAAGCCTCCTTCATTTTTATTTTCTGTTTATTTTCTTTCTTTAAAGGGAAGGCCGAGCCTCCCGATTTGCCGTTTCATTATTATATGGTTCGCCGTGGCACCTAATTTTCATTCTTATTATATGGTTGGCCGTGCCACCTAATTTTCGTTCTTTACTTCTATCTTATGTTATTTTATGTCATATTGGTATTGTGAATTATATTCTCATCGTTTAGTTGAAGATAATTGTGAAACTTTCTTTAGTAATTTATTTGACTCACCTCAACACTCACTCACTTCTTCCACTATGGCTGATAACGGAAGAGTACATGATGAAAATGAAAACCAACAAGTACGAACCATGCGTGATTACTTGCAACGTCCTCGAAATTCTGCTCTTTCATGCTTCATTTTCCCTCTTAATGCTAATAATTTTCGATTCAAGTCAGGTATGATTCCATTACTTCCTAATTTTCATGGCTTAGAATCCGAAAGTCCATATTTGCATCTTAAAGAATTTGAGGAAGTATGTGCCACATTTAATGATCAAACTTGTCCCAATGAAATTGTTAAGTTGAATTGTTTCCTTTTTCTCTAAAAGATAAAGCAAAAACTTGGCTTAACTCTTTAAAACCTAGGTCGATTGGCACATGGCAAGAAATGCAAAGTGAGTTTTTGAAGAAATTATTTTCCAGCACATAAAACTAATGCTTTGAAAAGACAAATCCAAAATTTTTCTCAAAAAAACCAATGAAGTGTACTTTCAATGTTTAGAAAGATTTAAAGATTTGTTAAATACATGCCCACATCATGGTTTTGAAAAATGGAGTACGATAAGTTTCTTTTTTGAAGGCTTGACTACTGAAACAAAACAATTTGTAGAAATGATGTGCAATGGTGAAATTTTAGATAAAGATCCAGATGAAGATTTAGAGTTTTAGATCATCTAGCTGAAAATTCTCAATCTTGACAAACAGTAAAACCAATCAAAAACTCAATTAGATCTAGTCTTCCTAGTTCTATTGGAGGAAAATATCAATTGAGTCAAGATGATGATCTAAATGCTAGGATTGCTAGTTTGTCTAGAAAAGGTTGAAGCTATGGAATTAAGGAAAGTAAAGGAAGTTAAACCCGTGCAAAATGATGAAATTTGTAGCATTTGTGAAACCTTTGGTCATCTTACGCATGATTGTCCTAACATTCCAGTCTTCAAAGAAGTTTTACATGATCAAGCCAATGCTATGAACACTTTCAAAAAGCCTTTTTCTTCTCCATACTCAGAAACATCTAATCAACAATGGAGAAATCATCCCAACTTTAGTTGGAGAGATGATAATCGTGTTCATTTATCACAACCTCAAGGGCTTTCAAAATTTCCTTCTTTTCCACCACCACAATCAAAGACTCTTGAGGAAACATTGCAGTCTTTTATGCAAGGACAAGCAAATATTAATATTCAAACTTCACAAGCCATCAGTGAAATCAAGAACACACTTTCTTCATTGGCCTCTTCTTTACGTTCTCAAGAGAAAGGCAAATTTTTTGCTCAACCTCAACCAAATCCTTCTGGGCAATTTAATGTAAATGCTTCTAGTTCTTCTGAAAGTCAACAAGAAAATGCCAACTCCATCACGACTCTTCGTAGTGGAAAAATTATTGACAAAACCATCCCTTCAAAAGAACTAAAATTGGGTGGGACTTCAAAGCAAGAAAATGACGTTTCCAAAAGTGAGAAAAAAAAATCATTTCTGAACCAATTGTTGAAAAATGTCCCATTACAGCTCCATTTCCTCAACGATTGCAACCAATTTCGAAACTCAACCATAATTCTGAAATTTTTGAACTTTTCAAACAATTCAAAATTAACATACGATTATTGGATGCAATCAAACAAGTTCCTTCATATGGAAAATTTTTAAAAAGACTTGTGCACTGTCAAGAGGAAACTTAATGTTCAACAGGAAGCATTTTTGATAGAGAATGTGAGCTCAATCATTCAACAAAACACTCCACCTAAATTCAAAGATCCTGGTTGTACAACAATTTCTTGTGTGATTGGGAATAATAGGATAGAGCGTGCTTTTCTTGATCTTGGTGCTAGTGTTAATCTATTACCTTTTTCTGTGTATGAGCAACTTGGTTTGGGAGAGCTTAAACCAACAGCAACAACACTTCAACTTGCTGATCGTTCAGTAAAAGTTTCAAGAGGGTTATAGAAGATGTTCTAGTTCAAATTGATAAATTCTATTATCCTATTGATTTTATAGTTTTGGACACACATCCTATTTTAAATTCAAATCCACTAATACCTGTCATTTTAGGATGTCCCTTTCTTGCTACTTCAAATGCGTCGATAAATTGTAGAAATGGTATCTTGAAACTCTCTTTTGGAAATATGACTGTGGAAATGAATATTTTTAACATTTGCAAGCAACATGGAGATACAGATGATTTGCATGAAGTAGATCTTATTGAACAACTTGTTGATGATCGGTTTATTGCTACATCTTCATCTGATGCCCTAGAATTTGAAGTCAACGATAATTCTAAAAATTCGCATACGATTTCAAGTGTTCAAGAGCTAAAGCTCGATTTGAAACCATTTTTTGAGAATTTCACTAGATTGGAAGAGTCCGTTGCTATAAATAATTCTAAAGATTGATATCCTTTTCTCTTTATTTTATTTTTGTATGTTTCTTTTCAGTTTTATAATGTTCTCTGTTTGTTTTAGGTGTGTTTCTTTTATTATTATTTTTTCACTAATGAAATTGAAGGGTCATTTAGGCCAAGTTTATGCAGACTTTCCAGGTAAAGCTTAAAACCCGTTCCTTTGTTCAAAATTTTGCTCCTTACTGTCTTTCACATATTTTCCACGTTTAATCTTTACAATGAGGAAAATGTTTCATTTAGGTTGGGGGAAAGGAATCAAAATGTTCCCAAAAAAAATGTTCTTACCGACCAATGATAATATTTGAAATTGTTTTTATATTATTGTGACTAGGGGATGCTGCTTTGATTTAGTTTGAGCTTGTTCATGTTAGATTGATCTACATTGAGTACAATAATCATGAAAATCACATATTATTTAGATTGGATCACTGGATAGAATATGTAGAATTGACAAAAAAAAAATTCCAACTAAAACAATTCTAGGATAGTTTGGGGTGGTTGAGCTGTTGTGGGGAAACATTGAGGTAGACGTGGATTCTATGTGTGTTAAATTTTGTGTGGATTGCTTAAGACCAATGAGATGCTAATTAGGTGAAAACCTTAAGTTAAAGATTGGTTTTCGAGAATAAATGTTTAATGAGGGGCATTACACTAATCATTACATAGAAGAGAAAAAGCTGCCATGTTGTGAAGCTACCCTAAAAGAGCCCAATGAGGACAATTACATATATATATAAAAAGAGACCAGGCTAGTGCATAAAACAGAATACGCACGGCAAATTTGAAAAAAGCAGGTGCATGAAACAGAAGACGCACTACATGCCTTGATTAAGTCCCAAACACTTATTTTAGGGAATTAGACCTTTGATAAGGGATTAGTAGCTCAGTTGATTCTTGGAGGTCGAGTCAGTCAAAATTAAGGAGAATCCTCATTTATTGATGTGTTGAGCTACAATTAGTAAAATCTAACCAACCTAGAGAGGGTGAGTAATAGTATATAAATTTAACCATAAATCACACTTTGGGAAAATAGTTACAAAATCAAGTTTGGGGTTGTGCATCCAACGAGAGAAGAGAGAAATAGTTGACCATTGAGGGTCCGGATGAGTCCAATTTAAAAAAGTATGTGATTGAATTGATTATGCACACACATACGTTGGTCAAGCATTGGACAAGTTAGACTATATTTTGGTAGCAAACCTTAGAAGAATTTTGATAAGCAATTTCAAATCCTAAGGCAAATGCGACAAGCTATTTCATTTGAACTATTTTTGAATTTTTATTGCTAGAGACTAGCAATATCTTGGTTGGGGAGTGTGATTAGTGTCTAAAAGTGCTTCAAAGATATATCATTTACAAGGCATTTTACATTCACTTTGTTTAAAAATACTAATCTTACTCTCTAATTTCAATTCTCTTGCCATAAATTCAATTTTCATAAATTCATGGTTAAAAATGCAATTAATTGAAATACGTATTTACATACATGTCGGCATGAGTATTATACGTTTGTAAGAGTATCTATTTGATTTATTTGACATGTATTTCCAATTTAGAACAAGTGAAGCAAGTGGACGAAAATAATGTTGAAAAGTCAAGAATAGTGACTATCTCAAGCAAGAAGCAGCTGTTGGTAAAATGATCATAACATGAGCTTCAGACATTGAACCGAGGTGATTCAAGTTGGGTTGGAAAGATAAGGCATGTTTCTACAACTTTCATATTTTGCAAGAAGTCAAATTCGTATTACAAGGCATCCAAAATGATCGTGTAAAGTCCAGCTTGTTACCTGCCGGATACAGCTTGTCTACCTGTGAAGCAATACTCATTATTTTTGTCTTATCTGGAGTTATATAGATCCAATGAACCTGATATTTAGACCAATGGAAAGATAACTCGAGTAGAAATAATTTATCTGATGATCCTAAGTCCAAATTCGCTGTACAATGTATCTGAAAATTGGCATCAAGTTGTATATTCCAGCTGTCTTGAGCTGGACAGAAACAAGTTACATTGTCTACTTGCATTTTGGATGTTCCTTTGCCTATAGAAGGGGACCTTGGCCACAATTTTGAGAGAATCAATCCTCTCCATCATATGCTAGTTTCCTTCATTTTCTTTGTAACTTCATTATCTATTTCTAAACCATTAGCTAGAGCTAGGGGTGAAACTTTGGTGAATGCATAGTATTGTCTTTGGTATTTCATTTTGTTCTTCAATGTTCATCTTCTTACTTGGTTGAAGTATATGCTCTACAAATGATTTTGGTTTGTTAAAGACTTTGCTTTATTGATATTTCATTTTGTTCTTCAATGTTCATCTTCTTACTTGGTTGAAGTATATGTTTTGTAGATGGTTTTGGTTTGTTAAAGACTTTGATTTATTGTTGACAATTTTGGCACAATAAATGCTTAGATAATCTCTACATTCCAACAACTTATTTTGACATATTCTCTCAAACATTTATCAAGATCTATCTTTTAATATATTTGTGATTAATGTTTTATCTTCCAAATGAGATGACTCCTTAGTTGATTTTCATATGAGTTAAATTAAAGATCAAGGGCAATTTCTACTCATTTACCCTAAGTGAATCCCCGATGCTCTAGTGTTCATCTTCATCGTATTTCCACCAACCGTTCACTACTTATAGACTAGTTTATTTCCTTCCAATTCCCTGTGGTTCGACCTCGGACTTCCGAGATGTACTACTTCGACAACCTGCACTTGGGTTTGCAACCTCAAAGTTGTAGCAGACGTATGACGAATTTTAGTAGTTTGAATTCTTATAGAAGAATAGGCGCTTGCGTAAATGGAACGCTTGGATTGTTAACGTTCAAAGAAATTGGCATAACTTTCGCATACATTGTCCGTTTTAGGCCCATAATGCCATTTCGAAATGGTCACGACGATTCTGTATGAAATCATGGCTTCGCCATGACATATGATGGATATTGAAAGTTTGAATTCATGTGAAAAAATAGGCACTTGCGTACATGGAACACTTGGATTGTCGACATTCGAAGAAATTGGCATAACTTTCGCATCATGCGGTGTCCATTTTGGGCCCATAACGCCCCCACATTTCGAAAAGCTCATGACGATTCTGAATGAACTCGTAGCTTCGTCGTGATGTATGATGGATTTTGGCAGTTGGAATTCTTGTAGAAGAACAGGTGCTTACGTGCACGGAATGCTTGGGTTGTTGACATTCAAAGAATTGGCATAACTTTCATATACGATGTCCATTTTGGGCCCATAACACCGTTTGAAAAGCTTACGATGATTCTGAATGAAATCATAGCTTCATCACGACGTATGATGGATATTACTAGTTTGAATTCGTGTGGAAAAATAGGCGTTTGCGTAAATGGAATGCTTGGATTGTCGACGTTCGAAGAAATTGGCATAACTTTCGCATACCATGTCCATTTTGGGACCATAACCCCTAGACTTCGAAAAGCTCACGACGATTCAAAATGAACTCCTGGCTTCGCTGTGATGTATGACAAATTTTAGCAGTTTGAATTCTTGTAGAAGAAAAGACGCTTGCATACATGGAACGCTTGGATCATCGACATTCGAAGAAATTGGCATGACTTTCGCATACGATGTCCATTTTGGGCCAATAACCCGCCATAGTTTGAAAGGCTCACGACGATTCTGAATGAACTTGTATCTTCACCATGATGTATGATGGATTTTGGCAGTTTGAAATCTTGTAGAAGAAAAGGAGCTTGTGTACGTGGAATGCTTGGATTGTCGACATTTGAAGAAATTGGCAGTTTGAATTCGTGTGGAAGAATAGGCGCTTGCGTACATGGGACGCTTGGATTGTCGATGCTCATAGAAATTGGCATAACTTTCGCATACGTTGTCCGTTTTGGGCCCATAACACCATTTCAAAAAGGTCACGATGATTCTGTATGAAATCATAGCTTCGCCATGACATATGATGGATATTAGTAGTTTGAATTCGTGTTGAAAAATAGGCGCTTGCATACATGTAACGCTTGGATTGTGGAAATTTGACGAAATTGTATAACTTTCACATGTGATGTCCATTTTGGGCCCATAACCCCCCACATTTCGAAAAGCTCATGATGATTCTGAATGTACTTGTAGCTTCGTCGTGACGTATGATCGATTTTGGTAGTTTGAATTCGTGTAGAAGAAAAGGTGCTTGTGTACATGGAACGCCAGTTTCAATTCATGTGGAAGAATAGGCGGTTGCGTACATGGAATGCTTAGATTGTCGACATTCGAAGAAATTGGCATAACTTTCACATACAGTGTCTGTTTTGGGCCTATAACCCCATTTTGGAAAGTTCACGATGATTCTTAATGATCTCACGGCTTGTCCATGATGTATGATGGACTTTGGCAGTTTGAATTCAAGTGGAACAACAGACCCTAGCATACATGGAACTCTGGGATTGTCGACCTTCGAAGAAATTGGCATAACTTTCATGTACCGTGCCCATTTTGGGTCCATAATTCCATTTAGAAAAGCTCATGATGATTTTGAGTGAATTCATGGCTTTGCCATGACTTTTGATGGATTTTGATAGTTTAAATTCATGTGGAAAAATGGGCGCTTGAGTACATGGAACGCTTGGATTGTCGACTTTAGAAAAAATTGACATAAATTTAGCATATGGTGTACATTTTGGGTCCATAACCCCCCACACTTCAAAAAGCTCATGACAATTTTGAATGAAGTCGTAGCTTCACTGTGATGTATGATGGATTTTGGAAGTTTTAATTCGTGTAGAAAAATAGGCGCTTGCGTACATGGAACGCTTGTATTGTCGACGTTTGAAGAAATTGGCATAACTTTCGCATAGGTATCCATTTTGGGCCCATAACCCCCCACATTTTGAAAAGCTCACGATAATTCTGAATGAACTCGTAGCTTCACCATGATATAGGATGCATTTTGGCAGTTTGAATTCGTGTAGAAGAACAGGCGCTTGTGTACATGAAACGCTTGGATTATTGACGTTCGAAGAAATTGGCATAGCTTTCGCATACGGTGTCCATTTTGGGCCAATAACACCATTTTGAAAAGGTCATGATGATTTTGAATGAACTTATAGCTTTGCTATGACATATGATGAATTTTGGCAAGTTGAATAACTGTGGAAGAATAGGCGCTTGCGTATATGGAACGCTTGGATTGTCGACGTTCAAAGAAAGTGGCAAAACTTTCGCATACGGTGTCCATTTGGGGCCCATAACCCTCCACTTTTTAAAAAGGTCACGATGATTTTGAATGAACAAATAGCTTCATCGTGATGTATGATGGATTTTAACAGTTTGAATTCGTGTGGAAGAATAGGCCCTTGAGT